GCTGCCTGCAGAACGTGAAAGACAGACGTGTGTGAGGTCAGGTGTCGCCCAAGAATGGCCTTCCCGGGGCTCCTCAGGGCTGCAGCCTGACTCCAGCTGGCGACTCACAGCCCCACATTCCGGACCCCCTTCTTGTGCTGCAGACACACCGGCCTAACGCATTGAGGTCAGAATATGAAATCAGTTTATGAAGCTGTGTGATAAGCACACGGACTAAGAGTTGTGTCTAATCTGAAAGCCTGTGATTGCCGCACAGACCTAGCAAATTAAGAATAATTTAAACACCACCATCTATGGAAACGCGTATCGAACAGATGTGACCACAGATTGGAAGGAAGTGTCTATCAGGAGCCTAACAGTCTCCTCTGGTTTGTCTCGGAATCTAGTTTAAGAGGAACGATGGGAAAGTGTGAGTACGTTCTAGAACACCAGCCATAAATGCAGCCATGAGAAGTGATGGCAAAGGACATGACAAGGAAGATGCTTATGTAAATGCAAACTCATACCGAGTGTGCGACCTGCTCACGGGATGACCAGGGAAAGGGCAGAGGAGGAGGAGGTGTGCACACTCATCTCCTCCCAGCCCCCCCCCCCCCCATGTGGGCCCTGACCTCAGCCCTTTCCCAGATGAGGAAGCTGAGGCTCGGTGGTGAGGTTGCCGGCCCCAGGCCGGGACCTCTGCTGACTGCGTGGCTCACGTGCGTGGTCGGCAGGCTCGACTGGCAATGCCTCGGGGAGACGGGTCTGGGTGGGCCCTCCGTTCTGATTCTTTGCCTTTTTATGTCCTCTCCACATTTTTGTGTGATAAGCACATAGGGATTCGGTTACCAAAGGGAACAGAAAAATGGAAGGAACAGGAAGTAAGGAGAGCGGGCGGCTCCTGTGAGGAGCGCTGGTGGCTCTGCCTTCTGCCCCAGGGAGCCTGGGCCCCGTGGCCTCTGGCGGAATGACTGGGTCCGATGGCTCGGGGACCGGAAGCGCATCAGCATCTGGGGTCCTGAGCGCGAAACACGCGACGTGACTGCAGGCTCCCGGTCGGTCAACACGCAGCCCGTTTTAAAAAACAGGTGTTTGTAATTGTACGTTAGGACGACTTGGGAGGATGGTGGTGTTTTTACTGAAGAGTCGGCTTCCTTGCCGCAGGCACCAACGGGTGTTTGTGGAGACGCGTTGAGTGGGGGCTTGGCCACGGACCTCAGAGGTGCTTTTCTCAAAGCAGGTTGTGTATGTGGAGGCGAGATGCTCTTTTCACAATGAGAAATAGCAACGCGTCCGTCAGCACAGAGCCATGGAGCACCGGGAGGGAGAAATAACGCATGGTTTTCTACTTGCAGAAAAATTAGACACTATGTGTCCATCATCCGAGTGAACAGCGGCAACAGTAAGGTGTGTCGGGGCCCTCGGGACGGGACGGCTGCCCCAGCGGCTGTTCGGCGGCCGCACTAACAGCTTCTACACTTCATTTCCAGGCTGAGAAGATCATGGAATCTGTTCAGTCTGACACTCCCACAGGTATGGTGCCCATGTTCCTCCTCCGAGGAGCTTGCCCGCTGCACGCCAGGTCTCTGCTGCCCAGGTCCCAGGTCCCAGGTCCTGAGCCCTTGAGGGCGTTCTGACAGGCGTAAGGGGAGAGTCTGGGCACCTCACATGCATGAATTCAATGTGGAAGCGTGTTGAGTGACGTGTGGGTTGTTGGCTGATCTGTGCTCTAGGAACAGGGACAGCTTCTTCTGACAGTCGCCACCGCCAGCAGACAGGGGGCGCCGGGCCCTTCAGACGTGCCTCCCCGGTGTCTGCTCCCACCCCCCGCTGGGTGACTGCACATGGTCCGGTCGCGGGAGGAGACCATCTCCCGGCTCCGGCTCCCATTCCTTCAGCTTCGGGGACTTGCTTCCCAGCACCAGGCAGCTCATTCCCTCGGGAACGGGCCCTCGTGTTTCCCGAGCCGACTGCCCGCGGCCCTGTGCTGAGGGTAGACGTGTTGTAGACGAAGTTCCCTTTTCACAGAGGAGGGGGCAGAAGGACTGACTGACGTGCCCTGGGCACCGTCCAGGAAGTGGTGGGCTGGCATGGGCTGTGACAGCTCTCGTGGGCGCGGTGCCCAGGAGCACACAGGGCTTGCGTGAAAGGCAGAGACGCGGTGCCGAGGGATGCACAGCGAGTGATGAGCGGTGGGCGAGAAGGGGCCGGGGCCATGGCGCCTCAGGAGAGGGACAGTCCAGGCAGGGACAGTGGGTTTGAAGAAGAGGCTGCGGAGCCCTGGCCAGCAGCTCCGTTGGTTTGAGCGTCGTCCCGACGCACCAAGGGTGCGGGTTGCATCCCCGGTCGGGGTACATACAGGGGTCAGCCAGTGAATCATCAGTAAGTGGAACAACAAATTGGTGTTTCTCTCCCTCATGCCCCGATGCCCCTCCGCAGCGCTTTAGCTCCCCTCCTCTCTCCCTCCCTCCCCCTCTCTTTCTCTTTCCCCCCATCTCCCTCCCTTCTTCCCTCTCTTTCAAAGTCAATTAAAAAAATTTTTGTTTGTTTAAGAAGAGTGTGTGGAAGGAAAAGTATTCCAAGAATAAAACAGGCACAGAAGACGGGAAGTCCAGAGTGTGTTCTGGAAAGAGCAAGGGTTAAATCGAACTGGTGTGCGGGGTCAGTGTGCGGAGAGGAACTGGGGTCACACAGGATCCCGGGTGCTACGTAGGAAAGGAGGGTTTTCACCTGCAGGCAGTGCAGCCTGAGCCCATGGGAGCTGGGAGTAGCCTGACGTCTGAGCTCTTAGGGCAGGTGTGTGATGGACGAGGTGGAAGGAGGGACCAGACAGAATGCCAGCATCGCCATAGGCGGGAGCAGAGGCGCAGCCACCAGGGCATAACCAGTGATGGCAGGAGGGAGTCAGCGGCCACGTGGGAAGGTGGTGGAGACCAGAGCGAGGAAAGCAAGGAGGCGCAGTCGAGAGGTGGTAGTGAAGCCTGGAGGGTGAGGGGTGCGACGGGCTGGGAAGGTGAGACGAAGGCATGGCTCCTTGGGTTTGTGTGTGTGCGCTCGCTCGTCGGCTCGTTCATTCTACAGTTTTTGTCGAGGGCCTGCTGGGCGCTGCAGAGAAGGGCCGGGGGTGTAAGTTTTGCTGCCAGCAAAGCATCCGCAGGTAGCTCGGATGTGGGACTGATGAGACTGAGCAGGAATGGTGGCAGGGGGTGGGGACCGAGGGGCCCAGGAGGAGCTGGAGGGAAAGGAGGGCACCTGAGTCAGAGCTGGGTTGCACAGAGAAGAGGGAGGGGAGTGCAGAGCTAGAGGTGGCCTTTGCATCCAAGAGCTCACCAATGACGCAGAGGAGTGCAGGTTCAGGAGAGAGGGCAGAGCCAGCCTGAGGGGCTGGAGGAGCAGGAGTAGAAGCTGCCCGCATGGGCCCAGCGTGACCATAACCCTTGCACTGCAAGGTCAGGGAGTGCCTTTACTTGGATAGCTATATAAAAGCCTAAGCAACCAGCCGACCAAACTACCAGTCGCTTATGATGTGCAGACCACTGGGGGACAGACACTCAATGCAGGAGCTGCCCCCTGGTAGTCAGTGAGCTCCCACAGCCAACCTCCCATTACCCCTCCCCCAACCATTCCCTACTCGTGTGAGCAGCTGCAAACAGCCATCATCCCCTCATCCAGGCTGGCCAGGCACCCCAGTGGGGACCCCCACCCTGAAGGGTGTGTGAGCAGCTGCAAACAGCCATCATCCCCTCATCCAGGCTGGCCAGGCACCCCAGTGGGGACCCCCACCCTGAAGGGTGTGTGAGCAGCTGCAAACAGCCATCATCCCCTCATCCAGGCTGGCCAGGCACCCCAGTGGGGACCCCCACCCTGAAGGGTGTGTGAGCAGCTGCAAACAGCCATCATCCCCTCATCCAGGCTGGCCAGGCACCCCAGTGGGGACCCCCACCCTGAAGGGTGTGTGACCAGCTGCAAACAGCCATCATCCCCTCATCCAGGCTGGCCAGGCACCCCAGTGGGGACCCCCACCCTGAAGGGTGTGTGACCAGCTGCAAACAGGCATCATCCCCTCATCCAGGCTGGCCAGGCACCCCAGTGGGGACCCCCACCCTGAAGGGGGTGTGACCAGCTGCAAACAGCCATCAGCCCCTCACCCAGGCTGGCCAGGCACCCAAGCGGGACCCCCACCCTGATCCAGGACACCCTTCAGGGCAAACCAGCCGGCCCCCACCCGTGCACCAGGCCTCTATCCTATATAGTAAAAGAGTAATATGCAATCTGACCCTAACAGCAGAAGGACTGGGAATGATTGGTCACCATGACACACACTGACCACCAGGGGGCAGACGCTTAATGCAGGAGCTGCCCTCTGGTGGTCAGTGCGCTCCCACAGGGGGAGCTCTGCTCAGCCACAAGCCAGGCTGATGGCTGCCAGTACAGCGGTGGTGGTGGGAACCTCTCCTGCCTCCTCAGCAGTGCTAAGGATGTCTGACTGCAGCTTAGGTCTGCTCCCTGCTGGCAAAGGGACATCCCCCAAGGGCTGCCGGGCTGCCAGAGGGATGTCTGATTGCCATCTTAGGCCCAATCCCCTGGGGAGCAGGCCTAAGCCAGCAAGTGGTCACCCCCGAGGGGTCCCAGACTGCAAAAGGGCACAGGCCGGGCTGAGGGACCCCCTACCCCCGAGCGCACAAATTTTTATGCACCAGGCCTCTAGTCTATGTATATAAAAGCCTAAGCAACCATCTGACTGTCCAACCAGTAGCTATGATGCACACTGACCACCAGAGGGCAGATGCTCAACGCAGGAGCTGCTGATCTACCGTGACTTGGCAGCTGTGGTTCTTGGGTGACGCCCCTGGCACCAGAGAGGAGGGAGCCTGGTTCCAGAGTGCGTCACCCAAGAACCACCCTCTCGCAAACCAGGACCCCTCGGGGGATGTCAGAGAGCCGGTTTCAGCCCGATCCCCGCAGGCCAGGGACCCCACCGGTGCATGAGTCTGTGCACTGGGCTTCTAGTTGATAAATATGTAGAATAGCCCTGTGAGGTGGGCACGGCTGTTATCATCATCTCTTTATTACAAAGAAAGAAACAGGTTCAGAAGGTTTAGATGACAGCATGGAGCGGGCAGCCAGGAAAGGCAGAGCTGGGACTAGCAGGCAGATCAGAGCCATGCTCACGGCTGTCCAGCCGGGAGAAGTCTCAGGCTGGGAGACTCTGAGGCCACCGTGCTGGGCCGCCTGTCATGTTACCAGATCACACCCTCCCGGTGTCTGCCTTCCTCTCGGCATCTAACTGCTTTTTATCCAAAGGCCCTGCTGACTGTCAGCTGGGGTCCTTGGCTATACACCACCAACACCAGTTCCTCAGCAGAAAGAAGCCTATTAGGAGGAGATGGGGGCCCACGTTGGGACAGGGAAGCCAGAGCACCGTCTGAGAGAGAGGGACCCAGGGAAGCTGGGTGCCGCCCCTGCGGCCTGGGAGCAGCGTGCGGGGCCACTATGGGCTCTGCCGAAGCGCCCCCCCCACCCCCCACCCCCCGGAAGGCAGAATGGCTGCCTCACAGCCTCCCTCGCTGCTGGGCTCTGGGGTGAAGCGCTCAATGGTGGCTTCCTAATGGGGAATGGGGCAAAGCGCTCACCCTATAGTGGGAGGCACAGGACAGGGGCTCGGATCCTGGGTGTCCAGGAAGCCAACAGGTCCCAGCTCACGTCCCTTTAACTCACCAAAGACATCCGTGTGATGAGAGTCTGTTCCAGGCCCGACCTGGTGTTAGGCACCCACACGTGAACGCCGAGTGCACTGATGGGCGGCAGGTCATCTGAACTCACTGTACTTTGTGGCACCACATGGGGGAGGGGGTGGCCTGGGGACGCTTCCCAGAGATGGCGATGGTGGGAATGGTGCCTGGAACAGAGGTCAGAGGACAGGAAGAGCATCGTGGAGGCAGAGAGAGCCCCTTTAAAATGCCAAGTAGAAATGAAAGCTGCTTTGTCGCCCCCCACAGCCCGGTCCTGTGCCTCTCCGGCCACAGGCTGCTCCCCCTGCCGGTTGCGCCTCTCCCTCCCTCCCCACTCCCCCCTGGGGCTCCCGCACTTCAGGACCCTGAGCTCCCGGCCTGTGACCCCTCTAGACCTTATTCCACTTCCCACCCCAGCGCCTGGTTAGGGCCTGACGCGCGGTGCCCAGGAAGTGTGTGTGGAGTGGACAAACGGGGAAGGATGAAGGAATAACCCAGTTCGTAGCCCAGCTGTAAAGGCAGGGGTGCGGCCTGAATCTCCAGAAGCTGCGGGAGGAGACACACTGGTTGGGAGGAGGAGCGATGGGAGGGGCGAGCGTGTGGAGCACTGCCCGAGGCAGAGGCAGCAGATGTCAAGGCTGCTCCTGAGACAGAGGGGGAGCCGCTGGCCCAGCCTCGTGTGGTCAGGGCCAGTGAGGAAGGGCAGGCTGTTGCACACACTGCTCCGGCCTGGCTGCCAGCCAGCTGCTCTGACTCGGAGGTGCTGGAGGGGTCTGAGTGAGGGGGCCGGGCCGCCAGTGGCTGCATCCAGTGGTGCTCACCTGTGCACAGGACTGAGCAGGTGGTGGGACGGCAGACGTGTGTCTATTGAGCATCTGTTATGTGCTGGGCGGTGCTGCCACCTGGGAAGGAGAAAGGAAGGCTTTCCTGCGCTTACTCATTCCCAGCTGTGGAGGAAGGCGGATGGAGCCTACGGTTAC